CAAAGTAATAAATGGTGCTATTGACTCGCCTGCATTACTTGGTGTTCCTAACCGCTTCTCCAGGCACTTTATCTTGGTTAAGTTTAATCAATGCAAATATAATTACGAACTGTTTAACCCGCTCAGAGTTGTTTGCAAGAACCTAAATAATGTCTATCATTTATTCTCATTAACGGACTCTTTAAAGTCCATTAAAGCAACATTGCTTAATACGCGCAATTTGTCTATGTCGTACTTAAACTGACTTAACCTTAAATATGTCATTATGAGTCGAAAATTAATATGTTGTTAACAATTATTGGTTGCCAAGCTTATGCATGTTTGCGATGGCTTAGGGGTTCACTTGCAATTTGGTCCTGTATCAGTTGTGGGCGTGGCTCTATGCTAGTTGTGTACATGCATTTTTTTTTCTTTTTTTTCTTCTTATTTGTTTTATTGTACTTATACTAAGTTTTATTATTAATTAATTTTAAGATTTGCTTAAGAGTCAAATGAACTCCACTGCCATTTTGTTTTAGTTGAGTTTCTAGTATAAGTGGAATAAATAAATAAATAAATAAATAAATAAATATATATATGATTTGTTTAGTACATAACATAGTTTAATTATATATCAATACTGTGCGGAACCAAAGTCGTTCTTCGTTTTGGTCTCACATGTCCTTCGTCTCTGAAGAGGCCATTACAAGTCTTGATCCACAGCCAAGAGTAGGTCAACAAATTCCAAGCCCCATAGTGGCTAACGTTGACACACAACCCGTACCTACCGCCCAACGGCCCGACGTTCCAATGTCCGAAAGTCAGAAGTACATGAGAGCTGATGGGTCCTTCCGCCAAGAAGAGGAAGACACCTCGTCCGATGGCACGGATTTACGCTTCGATGAGATCTGGAGCACGCAACGGTTATAATCGTGGGCCAACCACTCACCGCCACATTGGACACTGGTGTGACCTCTAGTTTTATCGCCGAAGCAAGTAAGAAAAGCGGAACCTGCAATAAGTGCAGTCTTCCGCCATCTGAACAGTAAGTCGAAACACGATGCATACCCGCTGCCGAAAATTCAACCGATTCTAGATCGTCTGTGCGAAGCCCGATATATCAGTAGCCTAGAACTCAAAGACGGATATTGGAAAATCCCCCTCGAGACAACAAGAAAGGCTTACACGGCATTTACGGTGTCAGGACGAGCACTTTTCCAATAGAAGGTCATGCCATTTGGCCTACACTCTGTACTTGTACCGTTTCAACGAACCCCGATTGGCCTCGACATGGAGGCACATGCATTTGCGTGCCTGGACGACATTATTGTCATCGGAAAGACTCTAAGCGAACACTTGGCCAACCTGCTAGAGGTATTTCGTCGTCTAAGGGCCGCCAATCTACGAATCAATGTGGAAAAGTGCGATTTCATTAAGTGGAAGCTAAATTACCCTGGTCACGTGTTCACCGGGCAGGGCATCCAAACTGACCCGAGAACACCTAAGCTATCAGCGAGATGCCAGTTTCCACAAATGTCCGATTTTATCGACGGACGGCTATGGAAGATGGGGAAGCAGCGTGGATATTGTGCGTGCCAACATTAATGAGGGCCGAGATCTTGCAAGAGAACCATGACGAACCCACAGCGAGGCACCTCGGCATACGAAAGACGATACAACGAGTTTATTGCCCGAGAGATTGCCCGATAGGTACGAAAGCCGACCGGAGAAATGTTAACGACCCTGCCGGAAGAGCCTTGGTCGATAGTCTGCTCAGACTTCATTGGACCAATACCGCAGACGAAGGCGGGCCACACGATGCTCCTGATGTTTGTAGACCAGTTCTCGAACGAATCCTTAGTACGTTTGGCACGAAAAATCGTCATCGATAACGGCGTGCAATTTCCAAGCAGGCATTTGCAGAGTTACCTACAAAAGATCGGATTCAAGCTCCGGCTAACCGCACCGTACACATAGCGAGAAAGCTCTACCGAGAGAATCAACAGGACCGTCAAAACGTGCTCTCTCGTCCTCCGACCAGCGAAGATACTTCAACTCCTATCGCCACCGCCGGCAACCTCAGGTCGGGGATGTGATCCTAATCCGCCGTTACCCTCTTTCGAAAGCGGCCAACCCGTTCGCCGCCAAGTTGGCACCTCGATTCCAGGGGCCTTACACCGGAGTTCGGTTTGAATCCCTGAACATCATTCAGTAGGAGGATACCACCAAACAAACGCTAAAGCGTGTTCATTTGCAAGATGCTAAACCCGTCACCCAAACCGAAAAATGCCACGGGCCTACAAGTGATCGCTTCAAACAACAGCCGCACAGCGACAACAAGAATCATCAGCAATGGATTGTATACACACCCCGACAACTATCCCATCACAGTTTAGTAACAATTTCAAACAACAGAAGCAGCAGCAACAACAACAGTAAACGCCAACAGAGCGGAATAACAATCATAACAAAAACAACACAACAACTAAAATAAATTCCTCAACAACAGCAACGACAACAACGACGATAACTACCAGATCATCTAATCGGGTGCTGCCCATGCAGCACAGGCAATATACAAAGTAAAATACTAACAGCAACGTTAACAGTTGCTCATCGTTTGGAACAGGCCACCTGACATCAAGTATGCCTTTAGCAATAGCGGTCGTAGAGGGCGGAACAGCAGGAAACATGAAAATCAACGGTAGTGAAAACAAAATTTCTTATGAAACAGAAGTTAGAAGTTCTTTCATATTCACCTATACGGAGCGGTATGAAGGGAAATATCAACAACAGTAGTAATCAACTGCAGTAGCAATCTGCTTTGCTAACCAACCATCGCTGCAAGCATGCACTACCTTCACCTGTGCCAACCACACCTTTAGCGTATGAAATCACTGACTTGACATTAACTTACCTTTGATATAAAAAAAGGGAAATTTTCAATGTATTTCCAAGAAAAGAATACTTTGAAAAAATTTCTTCTGAAAGGAAACCTGGAGCAACTGAGATACCCCAGCACCATGTTTTGGACAAAAATAGCCCTCAAAATACTTATAAATTAAATAATGTAATATTTATATTTTAAATAATGTAGAAATACTGATTGGTTTTATTTATTTATTTATTTATTTATTTATTCCACTTATACAAGAAACTCAACTAAAACAAAATGGCAGTCGAGTTCAATTGACTCTTAAAGTAAATCTTAAATTAATTAATATTAAAACTTAGTATAAGTACAATAAAACCAATAAGAAAAAAAAAAAAAAAAAAAAGCATGTACACAACTAGCATAGAGCCACACCCACAATCGGTACAGGACCAAATGGCAAGTGAACCCCTAAGCCATCGCAAACATGCTTAAGCTTGGCAACCGATAATAGTTAACAACAATTCATTTTCGACACATCGTGGCGTTTTAACGGTAAGAGCATAGGTAAATTAGGCGCATTAAGCAATATTGCGCTAATGGACTTTAAAGAGTGCAATAATGAGAAGAAGTGATAGACGTCACTTAAGTTCTCGCAAACAATTCTGAGGGGATTAAACAGATCATAATTATATTTACACTGACTAAGCTTAACCAAGATAAAGTGCCTAAAGAAGCGGTCGGGGACATTAAAGCTTATTTCACCAAGTAATGCAGGCACCAGTTATTAATTTGATTACGAAGGAAACCCCAAGAACAAATCTACGTTTCTCCAGTGACGGTAAGGATAACAGAAGCAACCTATTTTTATAGGGTGGAAGAGGGACAATCGGGTCCCAACCCAAATTCCTAAGGGCAAACAGCAAGAATTGCTTTTGAACAGATTCAAATCAATCTACATAGCACCTATATGAAGGAGACCACACAACAGAGGCATACCCAAGTATAGGTCTAACTAAACACAAGTAAAGCCTTTTCGTAATATAAGGATCATCAAGCTTTCTGGACCACCTCTTTTGCTTTTGAAAATGATATGAATTAAAAGGAAAAGAAAAGAAAACCTGTAAAAATGCGGAAAAGTGTTTTTTTTGTGGGAGGAAAACAGGTTACATGATCATCGGACCCAACTTCGAGTTCCCCATTGCAAATCATGAGCCGAAGGAGACCAGAGGTAGAGCACGTTCCGTTTGTTCCTATGAGGGTAAAGCACGTGTATTTCTTTTACATGTAACCGTCTGTGGAGTGTCCTCCGTACAAAAATTTGAACCCCCCATATCTCCCAAAACTAGCTCATCAATGAAACGTGCGTCCATCTCATACAGCCTCCAATCCTCTTAAAATGACACTTAAATGTGGCCATAAAAATTATAATATCCGTAATTCGATATTCAGACATCTTGGGTTTTGCCCTAATCAGCCAAGGCTTGTAATCAATGCTGCATCTTCATTCTTTCCGTTAATCGTAAAGAATCAATAATCATAAAAAGCCAACATTTTATTGAATATATTGACCTCATCGTGAACAGCGTTAATCCGCTTTTTTAGAAAAGAAAAAGTAGGTGCAATAGCCTCGAGGGACGCCAGACGTCACGGAAAGATCGTTCGAAGTGATGAAGCTAAAAAAAATCCTGAACAATCTATTATGCAGGTAAGAGCTTATCCATTTCGCTAAGTACAAATGGAAGAGGCCTGGAGGTTGAAGATCAATAAGTCAAACGCTTTACTAAAATTAGTATATACGACATCCGTGCGAGAGGCATTAGAAATAGCCTTGAAAACATGAAAAATAAATTCTAAGAAGTTCGCCAGTTGATTTTCGTGTTAAAAAGCTATGCTGAAACGGACGAATAAAAGATTTGATAGCAAAAGCTTAATCCAGAGACAAAATTCGCTCAAACAATTTATTTAAGACACAAAGTTTGGCAATGGCTCTGTAGTTCTCAATGTGATGTCTGTTTCCACATTTATGAAGCGAAATAAGGAAATTACTCTTTTAACAAAAGGGAAAAAAGATCTGATCTCAAGGACTGATTAATAATGTTTGAAATATTTGTCAGAGTGATTTGTGTATAC